TTTCATTCGATGTCAATTGATTTCAAAAGGAATTTTAATCAAATTTCAATTGATTCTAACGGGAGTTTACTTCAATTTCAATTGATGTTAAACGGTTTCTAATTAACTTTCAATTGATTCTAACGAGATTTTATTTCGATTTTAATTGACTTTGAAAGGAATGTTAATTATTACATTTCAATGGATTCTAACGGGATTTGAATTCGATTTTAAGTGATTTTAATTGATGTTACAAGGAATTTTAATTCAATTTCAATTGATTCTAACGGGATTTTAATTCGATTTTAATTGATTTTGAAAGGAATGTTAATTAAATTTCAATTGATTCTAACGGTATTTTAATTCGATTTTAACGATTTTTAAAAGGAATTTAAAGGCAGCCCTACCAAATCCTTTCAATAAATATCCCCCCCCCAATAATACATAATTTCTGACCCAGCGGATTAGTTGTTTAATTAGGGGGGGGGGGACGTCGTTTATTATTAGGGGGCATGCGATTAATCCCTAATAAGGCCGTAATTTGGAATAGCCCCTAATAAGGCCCTAATTTGGAATAGTCCTTGATACGGCCCTACATTGAAACAGTGCCTAACAAGGCCCTAATTTGAAAGAGTCCCTAACAAACCCCGGATTTGAAATAGTGCCTCATAAGCCCCGGATTTGAAACAGTCCCTAATAAAGCCCTACATGGAACCAGTCCCTGAGAAGGCCCTGATTTGAAGTAGTCCCGAAAAAGGCGCTGATGAGAAAGAGTCCCTAATAAGGCCATGGTTAGAAATGGTGGCTCATGAGGCGCTAAATTTGAAATAGTCCCTAAGAAGGCCCTAATTCAACATAGCCCCTTATTAGATCTTGGTTTCATAGAGTATTATACGATTTTAATCAGATTTCAATAGGACCCCATTAACTCCATACCCCCCCTTCATGTTCGGGTCGTACGATAAGTACCCCCTCTTAGTATTAAATACGGGCCGGAGTATATACATCAAGGGCGGGAGGACGACGTTTAATGTTAGAGAGAAAGGCTTACCGCCTCTGCCAACGGATGCCAAAAAATGGTTCAGCTAACAGAACCAGATCTGCAAGGACTGCGTCGCAGGGCCCATGGCATTCACCCAAAACAGAAACTGTTCAATGACGCGTTGCAAAGTGGAGGGCTTGCAGATTGTGTGTGCCCTATCTTCAGAATTTGACGCGGGTTTTCCACAGACCTGTCTGCATGCGGCCTTCACTGCATGAGTGGGCCGAACATGCAGCAAAACAGGGCGCTGAGTCAGCGCAAATGCATGGGGGGTGGCTGGCCAATGAAGCTCATGCAGTTTAAAACGTGTTTGGGAGTACCACCTCGGCCAACCGATGCCAAAGAAATGGCTCTGCTTGCAGAAGCAGATTTGCGGGAGCTGCGTGGCGGGACCGTCAGATTTGTAGAAGGAAGTTGCGGAAGTCCGTTCCTCCATCCGCGACGCCGGCCGAAGCATGATGACAGCTCCTACTCCCCAAATACCCTTGAGCGAAGCTTCCGTCTTGCACGTCGAGCTATTTTGACGAAGAAGCCCCCACCTTCCGTGCATGGATGAATTGCGTTGTCAATCAAACGGTGTTGCAGAGCTGCAGGCCAATGGCGTCATGGTAGTGTTGCAGCATGGCTTCTCAGATACCAAAGCACAATGCGGGTTGGCACATTTGTTTCATCAACAGGTTGGAAGCTTCTCTTCACCAGGTCTGAAGCTCCCAAAATGAGTGAGGTTTGAACGGGGCGGTTGTGGTTCCGCTCCGTGTCTAACGGGTGCAGTAAAATGCTGGTCTACGCAGCGCTGGCTCGCTCGCTTTGCCTGTGCGGCTTGCAGGTGTTGGTGCCGTAAGCCGTGAAGCTTGCAACGTGGTTGCGGCTAATGCAAGGCAAAGCTAACCAGAGGCACCAGGCCGATGCTAGTATCCAGTCTGTTTCCTTCAGTGGAAAATGGTGTTGGCACTTGCAAGCTTGAGCTACAAGCTTGAGGCTGTTATGAGGTTGTTGTGTTATCAGCGGCAGCTGCGCAATTTGCACAGGCAAAAATGACAGCGCGTGCTCATGGCAATGTTCGGTCAGTTGGGACGTGAGCAACATCAAAAATTTGACCTTCATGCGAGGGCGCGCCCCGCGGCCAATTCCTGGGCGAAGCAATTTGCAACCGATGTGCTCGATGATGGGCTTTCATTTCAGCAGATGATCCCGGACTACTTCAGCCTGGTCTCCATTTCGTTTGTGGATGGCTTTGTTGGTTGGTGTATTTACCTTGCACGGAAACTCTGGACCACTTTAGATTTCACGGCCCGGACACTTGTGGCAGACGCAGATTCTGAATTGGCTGCTGAGGCAACGTGCGCGCTCGATGTAATGTATCGCTGAGGACGCTGGCATGCAAACTCCCTGGCACGTGGAAAGTCCCGACTTGCTGGGCCATTCTGGTCCAAGTGAGTGATTAAGATTTCAATCGGGGATATTTCATCCACTGCAAAGTAAGTAGTTAAGAGTATATTATCCCTGAGGACACAATATGGTGCAAGATTCCATGGTTTTATTTGATTCACCGATACGAAAATCAAACGTCGTGCAGGTGTTGCTGGCCAATTGGGCCCCACCTGCAAGAATCTTGGATGCTTGGCGCAAATCCTCGCCAGGTTTGGCCTTCATGCATTTGATTTCCCGATATTCACAAACGACATGGCAAGCGGTTTTCCAAGGTGGATAACGTCAGCGATTGGTTTGTCTACGTTTTCGTCGTGTACCGCTGTGCCTGAGTTCTGGAGTAGCATTTTTTAAGTTTTGGGTTGTCAGTTTCCTTATAGGAACCGCTATGAAAAGAAGCATATACTTTTTCCATCTGGTTACTTCAAAGCCAAGGTGTGGTGGGCTTCGCGGTTTTGAACGTCGCGGCTTGCCAGCAAAAATGGCAAATCACGTGTCAACGCGATGTTACAAAAACTTAGCCGACTGGCTACATGTGTCTGCCAAATTCGACTTTGTATTGCTTGGTCCAATTGCAAGCCCAAATCCCTGAAATTTGTCTTTTCGCTAGCTGTGCTGCACATAGGTCCCGAAGCTTGTTCCCAAGTGGTACAGTTAACATTTTCAGCCAACACTTATAGGAAAATGCTGGGTATCTTCCATAGCCAATGATATCTAGTCCAGCGAACAGCTGTGCGCTCGTTGTTGCGCTCTTCTTTTGCTTTTCCGCAGGGCAACCAGACGTCCCCACGATAGTTTCCTGTTTACCTTCTTATTGAATTGCTGCAAGGTTTCGGCAGTGTTCATACAGCAAACCATGAAGGTGGCGCAGGCCCTGAAGCATGCGGACTTGGGCATTCGCAGCATTAGGAGCAACATGCTGTTTGACGTTTATTCTATATCTTTGTTCCTTCCAAACAAGGATTTTGCGTACTGTGCTACGTGCAAATGTTGCTACTGGCGAGCTGCTTCTGGTGCCGCTGCCGCTGTCACTAATAAACTTGCTCCGTCACCAGCAGCTGCTCCACGGCAATAGAAACAGTTGCGGCTGGTGTTTTGGCGAGAGTGCAAGAAGTTCGTTTATCGCTACAATTATCCCACTGGTACGAAGTATTGCATTGCTGCTGCTACTGCTGCTGCTGCTGCTGCTGCTGCTGCGGTCACTGCTTTGCTTCCGCTGCTCACGGCCACCACGACGACAGTTCCGGTGTGACGGCCATTGCCATTGCCGTTGCTGCCGTGACGGCCGCACCAACCCAGCCGCTGCCGCCGCCGCCGCCGCCCCGAGAGATTAATGCGAACGGGTTGCAGTAGTCCAGCAGTCTGGCTGGCGCTGCAACCATGAGCGCGATGATCCTTTGCACTTCTACCCATTGTTTGCTAATTCGTCGCAGGCTGATCAGGAGCTGGTTTTGAAGCAGCGGCTGAGCTCCTTGCTTGTGTAGGTAGAGGATGGTAGAGGGCTATCGGGCTTGCGGGGACCAGGGAATTCAAGGGTCTTCAAGGTATTTTGAGCCATACGGAGCAATCCGTTTGTGCACGTGATGATTCTTCATTTATGACGGGAATTGGGCAGCATCCTTCCACATGTCCACTTCATTATTGCAACCGCATGATCCAATCTCAGCTGCTGCCAACGTTCATGTCACAGGCGGTTCCAGTGCGCTTTCATTTTGATGGCCACGTGTAGGGCCATCCCGTGAGCATAGGTTATTTTAAGCTGTGAGAGTTTGCTCATTGCTCACTGGTGCCCCTACACTGTCCTTACTGGACTCCAAATCTTCTCACAGTCCCCATGTGAGTAGCATTTTCCAGAGGGATGAATAACCTCCGATCCGCAGTACAAAACAAGATTGTATCCTCAATTTTTGGAGGCGGGGGTAGTACTTCACAAGAAGAAGATCTTGGTTCAACCACCAAGAAAGGTTTTTCGCGCACCCCTAAGATCTCCAAAGAGACTCGCTTCATGGCAAACCCCTACTCCAGTTTGCTATGCTGAGAGTTGTGTGATTTAAAGCTCCACTTGAAACCACACATGATCCTTCAAGTGTTTTCTTCCTTGAGGGTGAGGCCCGGGCGTGCATCCCTGAACCCCAATCGAGTCGCGCTTTTAGTTGCGGATGCCATATTCCCCCAAAAAGGTGCAAGACGATAGTCTCCCCTTGAGTAGAGTTCCTTGCGAGAGAATATACTCTTCTTCGTTGAGCCACAAAGAAGACGCTACTTGACCCGGCAACTTGCACCCTGATCCCCTCGCCAGAATGCAAACAAAGGAGGATGCCTGTAGTGACCAGGGTGTATAGTATAGATACCGTACTTGCTGCGGGATACATGTCAAAATTCAGGGTCTTCCCGTGTTTATGCCCTTCAAATTCAGCAGTCTTGATGGCATGAACCACTGAAGAGCCTGAACTCCTTAAAGGGGGGGTATATAGGGTTTAGGGTTTAGGGTCTGAATTCCTTCAAGGGGGCCTATATAGGGTATAGGGCTTAGAGTCTAAACTCCCTAAAGGGCTGTCCTATAGATGACTACTATGGGGTGATTAAGGGAGATACTAGGAGTTTAGAATATAGGTCATATGAGTGCCTGACAAGTTGATACGTGTATCTTGCGGCTTAGTCTGTACTTGACATGTTTAGTTTTGAGCATCGCACACGAAAGGCAGAATGGCAATTACAGAGACAGCTACCTGAAGACACAAGACTGGCCAACCCAACATTTTGCGCAAATCACTTTGGCCTGGTATTTCTTTTCGCTGACCGTATGTGGTAGTTCTTAGTTATGGGTGACCATAAAAAACCTGAAGAAAAGAACCACTCTTTTCGGGAGACTCCCCTGTTTGTGTCAAGCCAGCTAAGGATCTGAGCAGGCTTATGCAGCCAAGATGAGACGCGCGGCAGAATTTGGTAGGTCTACTGTCACAGTTACCTCCCGCGACAAGCTAGTGCTGACATCAAGCGCATGGAGATGGAGGCCCCTTTAACTCAAGTAAGGGCCAAACAAGGCTATCACCATCAGATGCAGTGGTACATGAGCACTATGTACAGCTTGTGACCGTGCTTTTCTGGAGGAGAGTTCTTCGACAAGTTGGACACACACCACACGGGCTACTTGACATGGAAGGACGGGCCAATGGAAGCCAAGTTTGTCACAGGCGACTATGAAGTCGATGCTAGTTAGGACAGGCCCAGCCCAGTAGTAGCGGCATTATAGGCGTATATAATATATAGGAATATAGGAACCCCACTACAAGTAACGTCATCACCCAACCTAAGTTACCAGCTTGTTTGCAAAGGCGCGAAGGCCGGTTAAAATGCAGAAATACGTACATTAGGACATGCTCCCTTGAGCACAATTCGGGCTTGAGTTACTGTCTGCTTAGAGATAGACCTGTTGCTCCAACTGGTGTCCAATGGGGGCTGACCAGAGAAGTGGTTGAAAACTGGTGCTATAATGGCCCACCCTCATGGCTTTCTGGTTCTCAGTAGGGAGAAAGGGAATATATTCCCTATATAAGCCTTGTGAAATAGATTCAAATATTCCTTTATCCGCTACTTATAACCCCCAAATACCCTACTATATTTTAGTTTCCATTCTCTTTTCCACCATCCTTATCATTAGAATCCCAATATCTTCCCTCATTCCCTACTAACCCCCAGTAAGATGGGTGGAGAGCAAGGTCACAAGGAGATGGCCAGGTCAGCTCCCACAAAAGTTGCTAGTTGGTCTGGATTTCTATTGAGTAATGCTTTAATGCTGTTCTTACTAAATTTAGGCGATCATCCTAGCCATGAAAAGCTATAACAACTAGTACTGCTTCTACTCCTCCTCTTGTGAGCTCGGTTGGCCGCACGATGACCACAGGCGTGAAGTATTTTAGCAGCCACAATGCCTAGTACGCGAACCCCGAACTTCGAAACTCTAGAATTTTGCGATCTGCTTCGCGCCAATAAGCTCAACGCTGCTCTTGGAACCCTGAAGTCCTAATCCCCACATTCCCTCTCCACATGTGGGCAAATTTCAACTGCAGTCACAACTTATCCTTTCAAGCGAATGTTTCCCACCATCCCTACATATGTGCATGGGTTTTAGGGGTGGCTTAAACCCTAAACCCTAGAGCACCCATTCATCTGCAGGAGTTCAGTCAGGTCCTGCGCAAGCCAGAGTTGCGCTCATGGATGGCCACTTTAGAGCTGGAAACCTATGATTTGGCTCCTGGGCCATAATAGGGGGGAAATGTAGGGGTATTCTAAGGATTATGTAGGTGATATGGGGTCTAGGGGCTCTCCAGGATTGATGTAGAGCTTTAGGCCTTGGGCTCTCCCGCAAACTGCCAGTCCTCATTATGGGCACTGTAAGCAGAGACTTCCTTATCATCATCCTACAAGCTGTAGTGTTCGGGGTTTAGGGCTTATATAGCTTAAATAGGATATGGGGAGCATTTCGAACTTGATATAACTTTTGGGCTGGATGGTTTTTAAAGTTCGACAAAGCCGCGACCATCCAACGAGCCACGCACGGCATGGGGTGTCGTATGCAGAGAGATGTCGCTCGGGCTAGGGGCATGCTTACATTTGACATCAATACATAATTCTATTCCGAAACTGGGATTATGTTGAGGTTATGTACTCCAAGCTTCCTTGAGTCATGATTCCTTCTGCACTCCTCAATGAAACCTTCTACAAGAGCTCGAGATACCAGGTGAATTTGTTCCACATGATCGATGATGGCGCCTCGGATGCACCATGTAAGTTCCAAATGTGATGCATATTTTGTCACCGCCGTGAAATGTGACTTTGGCAGTACCACTCACTAGAATTCAATGCTACTGATCTAGATGTATTTTGCATACATATATATATGTGCATATATCCTCGCGCCCCCCCAGGATTATGATGGCTTTAGGCATGTTGTCCATCTATTTTCTTATGCGGATCTGTGTGAGGCGGGTAAATATATATATATATGTATCTAAAGCCAGAAATCAGCCACGGCGAGAGTACATCCGTTTGGAATCTAGCAACCATTCAAAGCAATCAGCGTTCCGCAAAGCGGTTGTTTTGCATAGGATTCTAGTCTCAAGCAATTCTTTTTCTTGTCAAAATAGGCACAGCGCGAAAATTCGTGGTTCCTGGCAACTCTTAGATTTGTGGCTTTGGATAGAATTCCGGTTTGGACGGATGAGAATTGATGCAGAACTGTTGCATTCCTTGGTTTCCTGTTTTGGATAGGGATTTGGTTGATATGAGATCCTGTGAAAATTCAATCAGAAGTAGTACGAAAAGCCTGGAAGTCTGGATTTAAGAACCAATCTCGGATGCAATGATCTGGAAAGTCGCATCATCTAAGTCGGATTGGATCTAACAAGCAACTAGCAGTACAAATTGAGGCTACTATTGCTTTACAGGACTGCACAACCTGGCAACTAGCTTCCAAAAGAGCAGTCTGCTTCGGGATGCTAGAGATGTGGCAGCCTCGTGCAACCATAGCGGTCCTTCTTGAGAACTACACTGCTTCTCAGCAGAAGCAAGCAAGCGACCCCCCTCAAAAGCACTGCAAATACCGGAAGAGCAATCGTCTAGCATCAACTGTCGCAGTGGCAGCAAAGGAAAGTAGATAACCGTTTAATCTGGCGACTCTTGTGCTTCTTACTCTTTGGGCCAAATCATCATTCTCATCACCGACAGTATCACTCAATGCGAATCAGGCCTATACTCCTCATTGCCGTGCTTCATCACCGCCTGTATAAGGCTCGCAAAGGCGTAATAAATGACGGTAGCTACAGCAATGTCAAACGCAGCCCGGGTCAGTGTTACGGCATGACCTATATCCTACAGGTGATGGGGCCATCACCGTGGCAGAGTTCCTGGATGGGGCAATTCGCTTGAGAGGCGTAGCCAAGAGCTTGGATTTGGCGCAGGCGCGGACTGCTTCGCACACTGGAATTGGAACCTTACACAAAGAGATAGATCCTATAGTACCCTGTCCCCATTTCGGAGTAGGACTGTATCATTTACAGACGTGCTGCATGCTTTGGCCAACCAAAGGAGGAGTTCCGTTTCCCATAAGACCCATCGGAGTTGAAAGACCAATTTGGCAAGTTTCTGGCATGTGCAGCTGAGAAGGCAGAAGAAGGCTCAGCTTGCCAGAGCTGGAGCGCAAAGTTCACTTTGTTTCCTGAGTGTTCCGCTTCATACTCAAAGCAAAGGAACTAATTCAACGCTGCATCAGAGCTGCAACTGACACGCCTTCAAGCAGACATTACTGCTACTGCTGCCACCAACACGCCACCTCCACTCCGACCCTCCAACTCTTCTACTGGTTGATTACCTCTCTTGGTCCCGCAAGTTTGAGGATTTCCAGGGACGTGCTTGACTGTTTGCTCCTATGGTCTGTTGCGGCAGGTGCACTTTACAGGAGGACATGCCAAGTAGCCACCTGTATGTGCATGTCGGGCAGTTCGTTTGTCCCGTAAAGAAGATTCCCAACAGCGCTGCTCCGAGTGTCACAGTTATATTTGGAGTTCTTGCATCTGCGGCAGGGTAGGAGCATAACTGGTTTTCTCTTTTTCTTGCATCCGGATATGTCCCTCTACCGCAGAACCTCTGTTAAGTGTGCAGGCCCCCATGTATCCTTCCTCGCTAAGGTCTTGCAGCGTTTGCGAGCTACAACTGCCAACAACGAAACCAATCTGCTCAGTAATGAGCTGCCAGGTGCTCAACACCACACGGCGGGTGGATGCCAAGGTAGAGGCACGTCCCATCTGATCGCACCACTCTATGTTCAGCCTGTCCAGTTGGAAGCTGGAGATCGATAGTGAATCTTGTCTACTATCTTGGCGGTATTTTGCTGGTTGGTTTCGACATCAGCAAAACTACAGGGCAGAGTCACCTTGCTCTGGACATAGAGCATTATAGTGCTACCCTAGCCTTGCATGCCTGAACTAGGCGGTCCTGATGGCTATCCAGACGATGTCCCAAGACCATGATGTTGAAAGCCTCAAAAAGACGGCTCCTGTTCTGCAAGGAGTGGGTGTGCCACCAGCTCTTGAATAGAGATTGGAGGGATTATTGAACATTGGATTCTTCAGGGTGTTTCATGGCTGTTTACATGGTTGCCCAGGGAGTAGAGACTTCAGCACAAAGCCAAAATTCTGGCGCTGCGGTGTCCAGATCGGAGCGAAGGCTACGGCAAAGGGTCTCACTGTTGGAATTTCTTACCACGTTTCGTTGTCTTGGCTTTGATCACACCTGTTGTGTTGCTTGATCCATTTGAAGAGTTTTTTGCGACTTTCTGCGTTCTCTGGTGACCAGGGCCCGAGCATGTTTTGGCACGTGCGAGGCCTGTCACTAGAAAAGATGTTTTGGCATCGGTCCGGTTGCCAAGGCGTTCGGCAAGATGTCAAGGGTGACGTCGAGACGGATGATGGTGCACAGGCCTCGTTGCTTAATTCTTTGACATATAAGGTTAAGCGTTTTGCTTGTGGGTTTCGGGTCTACAGGCTTCAGGCATGACAGCTATTATGGGCCTATAGGGTCTCAGGACGGACTTTGGGACCTACCATCAGGAGTTGTAGCTCATACACCATGAGCTTTCAGGACTGTGGCCCAAGAAGCTCGAGTGTGCAAAACAATGAGGGAGATGAAGGAGGACAGGCAGGAGTTGGCTACTCCAATCCCTTTATAAACAGAGAAGACAAGTTTTCCTTGAACAAGGTGTGTGAGGTACGGTGGTTTTACACAGCTTGCGGCCGATTTCTTGCGGCCAAACTGACCCCAGTTTCCATTTTGTTTTCCATGTTCTTTTTCATTTGATTCCCCTATATACCTCCTGACCTCTGAAGTGAGCAGACATATCACCTAGTTTGCCAAGTGCGATATGCCTTTCTGACGTGATGGTGCCCTATCAGGCTACTCATGACTCTACATACTACATGTGCATTCCGGGTGCATTCCACAAGCGCTACATCATGTAAGCTTACAGCTCGATCAGTCGACCCCGTAAATCTTCAGGCCTCAACCCAAAAGGGTAAAAAGCCTTGAGCCCAAGCCCTTTATCGGCATACTGGCAGGCACGGCTCAGTCAAGAAGAGCGTTTGAGACTTGTTCGTGGCCACGCTGTTCAGGTGTGAAGCTGCGAAACTAGTGCGTAGGGTTTTGGGGTGTTTTCGGATATGGCATGCAGGGTAAAAATTCAGGAGGCTCATCCAACACAAACGTGACTGAGGTCCCCAATATATACAACACAGGTTTGGAGTCCCGAACCTGGACACCATCGCCGTTGTGGTAGAGTCCCGGATTCAAATCAAGACCTCAGTCAGAAGAAGCCTTAACAAGGGGTAAAGAATGGACTGTCAAGCTGGCTTCCTTACATGCTTTTCGAATCTACCCTCCCCCAAGCCAACATGGAACTCCATGATGTTTTTTTAAGGATATTAGGGGGGGGGGTGTCCATGTTGGTTTGCTGGAGGGTATTTAGATGATTTCTCGGAGAGGTCTCAAGCTGATATGTCAGCTGTGTTGCCTTGGGGTTTGAGGTTTTCGGGTGAGAATCCATGGAAGGAGTGCCTCCAAGAACCTGCTAATGATTACCTCGAGTCTCAGGCCACGGGTGGCATGCTGTGGATGATCATACAAGCCCAGACTCAAACCAGAGCACGATGTTTCAAAGCCCCCGCTCACGTAGCCCCGCACACGCTTTATGAAGCACATCGGAAGCATCGGCTTAACCTTCGCACCCAAGCCATGCAAGCTCCTTCAACTTTCAGTAGATCTGAACCGTTGAGCCGGCTCTCTCTACTTGATCGGTTCTTCTTCCCACAAAATCCGGATGCCACACAATGCTCACAGGAGGTTTTTCACGGCATATCAAGGCCCACCTCAATGTTGACATGGCTACATCCAAAATGGGGGAAACACGATCACCAGAAAGCTCGCACAGCGCCCAGACAATCCCTACGGGACAGCCACCAAATTACACGGTTTCAAGGGTCGGGCTTGGAGCTAATGCACAGGAACGACAAGCAAGCTTCCAGCACCGAGAGGGGAGATCCAAACGGGCAGAGATCTAAAGTAGGAAAAAGCCTGTGGTCCAGGAGGACTATATGTTGTTGTGCGAGGTGTTCGGGAACCGGACGTTACGAAGCAGCATGTAGGTTCCTGTCAAACTTGTTGGTCACGTATGCAGGGATGATAGAAGCATTGGCCGAGGGGAGTTACACACGACGGAGGGGTTTGAGGGAGTGGGGCTCCATGCGAAATCTACTTCAGGACCCTGCAGGCCTCATCCATGCTGCACTTCGATTTTACAACGAATGCAAACTTGTAATGACTGCCCTGGACGCCTTTAGACTTTAGAGCACATAGGCAATATGACGGGACTTAGGGGCTCCGCTTCCCTCATTTCGATTTCCAAGAACCCGAGATGTGCCTTGACAGGTAGATCGGCCATCACCGGGTGCCCTGCCGCTTTTGCCCAAAGGGCAGCCACGGCTCAATGGTCCAAGCTGAGGATACCTTGAGCCGTTCGTTCTTTACCTGCACTGTTCTAGATGCACAAATAGTGCAAGCAGCTGGAACAGTGATTTGGCAACTGGCCACAAGCTACCAGAGATCGTAACTGTCACCTCTGCTGATCCATCATCGCTTACACATGTGTCTGCAACAGTTTCTTGAGTACTTGCATATGCTGCATTTCCTTGCATGCAGATATCAATCCTCACTCACCTGATATGGTATGCGCATCAGCTGGCCAGGGGCAAGGCCAGAACTCACCAGTCTACCTGATTGCTCTAAAGCATGCAAATGTTAGATACGGGCTCCAAGTGCCTTCGCCACATCTGAAACTGTAATTCATATGCCAGACAGATGTTAGCAAATGGTTGGCCGTGACCTGAGCACATCAGACTCTTGCCCTCAAGATGCACAGAGCTATTCCAGAGGTGACAGCCCGTGACAGCCTTGATCTCTGGCGCGCCTGCAGCTTTTTTCTGTGTCTTGCCGAAGGCAGGCACCCTTCGCAGCACCGTTCAATGCGGACCAATAATTTTCAAAACTGTCGCCAGGATGCCAGGCGGCGACCACGGCCCTTGTGGTTCTGAAAACTGGGGTGCTTTGCTGCTGCGCCAGCACCACCACCACTCCTACCACCAGCACTTGTACTCCTGCTTTGCTCCACTGCTCCTACCACTCACAAGCGGCTAAAGAAGCAGAGTAGTATCAACCTGCTTCTACAATACAGCAGCCGAGACAATCCCCTCCCGGGGCCTCGACAAACAAGGTAAAGAGGAAGCCTGACCTTGAAAAGCAGTAAGGTTGGATAATCTTTCTAGGGCTCTATTTCTCTTCGTAGTATTACAATTCTCAGATCATGCTATATAGAGTCCTTCGAGAAGCAAGCTCAGGAGCTTCACAAGAAGTAAGCACGGGCCCCACCTGTTTAATCTTCTTAGCCTTACCTACGACTAGAATGAGATGCTCCGAGTGACTTCTGGACTGATTCCCCAGTACGAGCTAGGCTCTGTAGCTACTATTAAACTTGTAGTAAGCGTTCTAGTAGCAGGAGCGTAGAGTCGTCGTCCTCCTCCTCCTTCTCGTCCTCGAAGCCCCGTCGGCTTCAAACAGTTGACATCCTGCAAATAAGTGGGGGGTGATATGACACAGACATTAATTCATGCGTGGCCAGAGCGGACAGGTTCAGTTGAGCTAGCAAGGAGAGATTGCCGCGCATCTATGACACCCCAAAAAAGACTTGAAAGCCCGATCCCTCGACCTCCTCGGCAAACCAGCAACTTATAAAGAACTGCAGATTGCACGTGTTAGTCGGGCTAGCGACTAGCGCCAGGGGGCCTGACGGACACCCTATCTTCGCGGGCGCAAGCCCTGACACGAGAGCTCCTGGAGGTGAGGACCGGAAGATAACATGGAAATCAGGATCCTGATATGGGGTCGGAGTTCCCATGTAAAACAAAGGGAACTTACATTGAGCTTACTGACAATTGCAGATGTTCAAGCTCGGAGCTTTCAAGTACCCAGGGCTGCTCATCCCGGGAGTCTGACAAGCGTAGCGTTTGGTGTGAGGGCCTTGCAGCTTGTATGGGGTTTGAACTGTCAGCAGGGACAT